TTCCACTTTTTTTTTTTTTTTTTTTTTTTTTTTAACTTTTTTGAAGAATATATTTTTTAAAGACCAGCAGATGGCATAGAAGTTACATCACTGGATTCCCACATACTCAACTGCAGTTCAAGTCCTGGACCTGGCAGCTTAAAATTCAGGCTGGGCACATGTGTGTGCATACCCAAGGTCTCAAGAGGAGAATGGAGAGGGACTGCAGCATGGCCATCCCCTTGAGGGGGGGGTGATTTCTTGCTTTCTGTCTGTATCTGTCTCTCCAGTGAGCATATGCATTAATTTTATTTATTATCATTATTTTTTAATTTGACTAGAGAGAGAGAAAGAAAAGTAAGAAAGCAAGCTGCCAGGTCCAGGACTTGAACCATAGTCTGCCATGTGGAAGTCCAGTATCTTAAGCACCACACCATTTTTTTTTTCCAGTCTTTGCCATGGGGCATGTACCCTCACCAGAGAGGGAAAGTGAGAAATTACCGTCCCCCAGGGTATATGGCCAGGCTAAAGTCCCTTCTCCACTGTCCTCTTGGAATCTTGGGCATGCACACATGCACACCTGGCATGATTCTCAAGCTGCTGGGCTTGGAACTTGAATAGTGAAGCTGGCCATTTGGGATCCAGCACCTTAACCTCCACCCCACCTGCTGACCAGGGATTCTTAATTCTTAAAACATCAGCCTAAGGGGGGGAAAAAAAAACTGAGTGCTTAAATTAAAAAGAAACCTTTATGTGACCAGCAGTTAGTGTAATGGCTATGTCGCTGGACTCCCATGTAGCCGACCGCAGTTCGAGTCCCAGACTCGGTGGCTTCAACTCACGCCGTGTGCTTGTGCGTGCATGCCCAAGATCCTGAGAGGAGAAAAGAGATTGTGGCATGGCCATCCCCCCAAGGGGTGATTTCTCGCTTTCTATCTCTCTGTCTCTCTCTTGTCTTTCTGGCGAGTGCACGCACCCTATAGCAAAAACCTCTCAAAAAAAAAAAAAAGGAGAGAGAAGAAACCCTAATAAGCAAACTGACAGCTAGAATATATTTAAACTCAGTCTCATAATTACTGACAATGATTAGTGCCATTTTCAGGGTAACTAAGGCATATTTTATAGGGTCCCAAACTATAAAAGAGGGTATTTAAATAGTATGCTTTGACAGTAGCAAGCACATCTACAAGTACCTACTATGACCTTAACTAATTAAAATAAACAAAAATCTTAGAATCGCTATGTCTTTTGACCCAAAATAAAGAAATTATTGCATTTCTTTTTTTTATTTCAAAGGAAGCCATGAACCAGCCAGGCCATCTTAAACTGTTCGTGACAAGGATCATGCAGGATTTTGAAAGTGATACCTTTTTTCCAGAAATTGATTTGGAGAAATATAAACTTCTCCCAGAGTAAGTACAGTGTTATTAATTATTCTGAAACACTTGGATTTCATACTTAAGAATTATAGAAAAGAACATATCTTGCAGGAGGAAGGGGTGGAATAAAGTTATTGAAAGACATAAGAATGCATGTAAACAAGTGGACTTGGTTATGGAATGGTGAACCACCTCACAGTAAAAAATGTTGACAATTCAATATATACTTCTCGAAAAAAGACTTAGTAGAACTTTTATTGTATGCCCAATATAATGTAATATTCAATGTTTAGTAAGATGAATATGTTTCCATCCTTGATTTGATTATTACATACTGTATTCATGCTTTGCAAAATCGTGCTGTACCTAACAGAGATGTACAATGATGATCTGTAAACCAGAAATCACAATTTAAAAAAGAAAGTAGCATCTCTTTTCAGATTGACTTTGGGTAACAGACAAATACTACAGGAATTTGGGGGGATTTGCTTCGGTAGACTGGCACATACTCAGGTTTTCACGATTGTACTGAAATCTAGAAGGGCAGTCATTAGTTCATTCCAGGAGAGATGGACGCTGTCCTAGGCACCGGGACACAGCGTTTGTCAGGCCAGATGATATTCTTTCTAGTAGGGGAAAGGGTGCTGTCTGGGGAACTGAAAATTGTGGCATGGTAGGTGCTGTGTAGTCTGAGAAGTCCCCACTGATTCTCACATATGTGAACCAACATCTCTGCTCTCCCGTATTTCTTCTCTTTCTCTTTCCTACCAAAAGCAGGAATAGATTACTGTGTAGATCAGATTTCTACGAACACCTTACCAAGTCTCTGCTCTCGATCAAAACTCTTTCCAAAACCGTGACCCTTGCAATTACTTGTGAACAAAATAAATACCAAAATTAATAGCAGAGTGATGGCTACCCAACAACCTAAATGTCAAGAGCCCACCATTAAAGAGCTGGTAGAGCATTCCAGTAACAGGAAACAGTGCAAAGTCTAGAGGCAGGAACAAGTTGAAGACCGCCGTGAGCACTGTGAGCAGAGGAGAGGCCCCAGGGGTCAGACCAAGCGCAGTGTTAGAGGGCTCTGAAAAGAGCATCAGTGTCCTAGCTGCGTTATAGAGAACGGACCAGAGGGGCTGAGAGAGATGCAGGGAGGCCAGGTAGTTGCAGAAGTTCAGGCAAAAGAAGAAGGGATTTAGATGAAGGTGGTAGCAGTGGTAGAGAAGGAGAAAAGAGGTTACTCTTGCTTTACTGCGTAGTTGTGACTTTAGCTTGAGGCTGCCTGATTTTGTCCACTGATGGCATTTTAGTTTAAAAGTACTTTTCAGCTGTTGGTTATAAAGAGTAAAGGTAAAAGATTAATTATATCAACTCTGAGACTAGCTTTTATCACATTCTTTCAATATTTTCAGTTGTATCTAGTACTTGTGAGTGTGAGGTTATTTTTGTTTTTGAAATATCCCCTAAAGGGACATTGAGAGCCATGTCTGAAAATGGATGCCCAAGCTTTAGTGTAATTGTTCCTCTATAGAGCAGTATTTTGAATCAAATGAGACGAGTAACTATTTCTGTGAGCTCTTAATGCTAGAGAAAATAAGAACTCTAAAATCCAAACATACTGGCTTTTTTTTTTTTTTTTTTTTGAAAGAGAAAGATTTTTGCAGTAGGATGTGTGCTCTTGCTAGAGAGACCAAAGGCTAGAAATTACCCCACCCCACCCCCCACCCCACCCCCCGGCGAGATGGCCGCCCGCAATCCCTTCTCCTCCATTCTCCTCAGGATTTGGGGCATGCACGCACACACGTTAGGTGTGAGTTTCAAGCCACCTGGTCCCAGACTTGTGCCTCAGTCTACCACATGGGAGTCCAGTGCCTTAACCACTACGCCACCTGCTGGCCTTAAAGTATAGGCTTTTGCCTAGGCTCCAGAGATGACTGCTTAGAAAAATACACTTAGTGTTTATGTAAAAAACATTTTATTTCATCGTATCGTATATTTTTTCTTTTGCTTAGATTGCTGATTCTCACATAATGTGAGCAGACATCTCTACTCTCCCTTATTTCTTATCTTCCTCTTTCCTACTAAAAGCAAAAGTAAATTACTGTGTGGATCAGCTTTCTAACATGTTACGAAGTCTTACTGCTGTGGATCCAAACTCTTTCCAAAGCTGTGACCCTTGCAATTACTTGGTAACAATGTAGATACCGTTCTGGCTCTCTGACTTTTAGAAAAGAAAAATTAACATCTTAACTGAAATATCATTCACATAATATCATTCACATACCATGTATTCATTTGCCTATTGAAAGTATGTAATTCTGTGGCTTTACTAAGTGTGTTCATGGAAAAGTGTATGACCTTCACAATTCAAGTTCAGTACGTCCGTGATAACTTCCCCCAACAAAACCCTGTACTCAGTAGTAGTCAGTCTCCATTCCCTTCCGTTTCTAGCCCTGGGAACCACTAATCTACTTTCTATCTCTGTAAGATATGCCTGTTCTAGACATTTCATATCAATGGAATCGTAAAACGTGGTCTTTCCTGGAATTGGCATCTTTTCGATTAGCACAACACTTTCAAGGTTCAGTCATGTTCTCTATTAATACTTCATTTCTTTCTGTTGCCAATATATTCCATTGTATGGATAAACCACATTTTATTTATCCATGCATCAAATAGGTTTATTTCTACTTCTTGGCTGTTCCGATGCTACTGTGAACATTCACGTGCAAGTTCTTGGGTAGATTTGTGTTTTCATTCCCGGACCTGGCAACTTGCTTTCTCTCTCTTGTCAAATTAAAATAAATGAATGAATAAATAAAATTAAATAAATAATTCTCTTTTTTTTTTAAGAATTGTTTTATTTAACTTTATGTATGTATGTATGTATTTTAATTTGACCAGAGAAGGGGAGAGAGAGAAAGATAAAGTGAGAAAGCTAGCCACCAAGTCTGGGACTCAAACTGTGGTCAGCCATGTGGGAGTCCAGTACCCTTAACCTCCTTACCACCTGCTGGTCCCATAAATAATTCTGAAAAAAAAAATAATAAACTGATGAGCTATTGTCCAACATGACTGCACCTTTTTACATTCCCTCCAGCAGTGAATTATGTTTCCATTTATTTCACATCTTCGTGCTTGTTATCATCCACCTTTCTGTGGATAGCCATACTAGCAGATGTAAAGTGGTGTCTTGTGGCTTGAATTTGCATTTCCCCAATGACAGATGATGTGGAGCAGCTTTTCAGGTGCTTTTTTGGTCATTTCTATATTTTCCTTGGAGAAATATCCATTTGAATCTTTTGTCCATGTTTAGAATTTGGTTATTTATCATTCCGTTAAGTTTTAAGGGTTCTTTGACTATCTTGGAAACAAGACTCTTATCAGATACATACTTCACAAATATTTTCTTCTGATATCTAGATGGTCTTTCATTGTAGTGATATAATTTGTAACCCAAGAGACTTTTTGGGTTTTGGTTTTTGGGGGTTTTTTTAGTTTTTTTTTTGCCATAGGATACATGCATTACCTGGAAAGAGACAGAGACAGATAAGACAAAGTGAGAAATCACCCCCTAGGATGGTTGTCAAATTAAAATAAATGAATGAATAAATAAAATTAAATAAATAATTCTCTTTTTTTTTTAAGAATTGTTTTATTTAACTTTATGTATGTATGTATGTATTTTAATTTGACCAGAGAAGGGGAGAGAGAGAAAGATAAAGTGAGAAAGCTAGCCACCAAGTCTGGGACTCAAACTGTGGTCAGCCATGTGGGAGTCCAGTACCCTTAACCTCCTTACCACCTGCTGGTCCCATAAATAATTCTGAAAAAAAAAATAATAAACTGATGAGCTATTGTCCAACATGACTGCACCTTTTTACATTCCCTCCAGCAGTGAATTATGTTTCCATTTATTTCACATCTTCGTGCTTGTTATCATCCACCTTTCTGTGGATAGCCATACTAGCAGATGTAAAGTGGTGTCTTGTGGCTTGAATTTGCATTTCCCCAATGACAGATGATGTGGAGCAGCTTTTCAGGTGCTTTTTTGGTCATTTCTATATTTTCCTTGGAGAAATATCCATTTGAATCTTTTGTCCATGTTTAGAATTTGGTTATTTATCATTCCGTTAAGTTTTAAGGGTTCTTTGACTATCTTGGAAACAAGACTCTTATCAGATACATACTTCACAAATATTTTCTTCTGATATCTAGATGGTCTTTCATTGTAGTGATATAATTTGTAACCCAAGAGACTTTTTGGGTTTTGGTTTTTGGGGGTTTTTTTAGTTTTTTTTTTGCCATAGGATACATGCATTACCTGGAAAGAGACAGAGACAGATAAGACAAAGTGAGAAATCACCCCCTAGGATGGTGGCCATGCCATGATCACTTCTCCTTTCAGGATTTTGGGCACATATGCAAATGCACCCAGTGTGATTTTCAAGCCCCTGAGTACAGGACTCAAACCATGGTCAACCATGTAGGAGTCCAGGACCTTAATCACCAGGCTATTATCTGCAGGCCTAGACCAAGAATGTTTTGGTCTTTTTTTAATTTGTTGTTGTTTTGTTTCGCTTTTATTGTACAGCATGTGCACTCCCCAGAGAGAGACAGAAGAGGGAAAAATCACCCCCGAGAGGGGATTGCCATGCCACAATCCCTTCTCCTCTAGTTTCCTCTTAGGATTTTGAGCATGCATGCACACACCCCTCTTGGCATGATTTTTAAGCTGCCAGGTCTGGGACTCAAACTGTGAAGTCTGCCATGTATGATCCAGCCACCTTAACTACTACAACACATGTCATTGTCTTCCCCCACCCACCCAGCCCAAGACTTTTTAATTTTGTTATTGTCTAATATTTGTTTTCTCTTTTGTCACTTCTTTTTTTTTTTTTTTTTTTTGGGGGAGGTTTTTCACTATAGGGCGCGTGCGCTCGCCAGACAGACAGAGGTAGAAAGCGAGAAATCACCCCCCAGAGGGGATAGTCACGCCACAATCCCTTCTCCTCCATTCTCCTCTCAGAATC